CAGGTCGCGGCGGCAGCGCTGACTGGGAGACGCTTCATTGTGGCCCGTGCAAACACAACGTGATGGGAATGTAATGAGTTTAAACGGGCGGTCGTCGATTTACACGCGGCGCAATCTTCTCGTTTGTTTTTTCCTGTATTCTTCTCATAATTTTTTCTTTCAATTCTTGTTTGGAACTCTGTCCAATTATCATGTTAGCCACTGTTGTTGTTGCAGTGAAGTTTCATATTTCACTCGCAATTTGGGTCGAAATAAGTCATGAAATATCAGCTAAAGATCAGTGGTCTTTTTTTAAAGGACTGGTTGTAAAGATCTCCTATTAAACTTCACCGTATTGGCATGATTTCATTTTTGCCTTTGTGGTGACCTTTTGACTATAATACCTCACATGTTTGGAGGTAAATGACTAAAAAGTAAGACTTTATCATTTATTTCATCTGTCTTCAGTTTTTATTTGATGCTTATAAGCTTTTTGCATTTATTAAGATTGGCTGAATATTTACCATAACATGGAGGCAGTGCCTTGGCATGAGGGGATTGAGTAAGTAGTTGCCACCTTTTCAATTCACTGCCCACTTAGGTCTTTTTAAAGAGTTTTAAAAATGGTCCCCAATTCCATGGTTAAAGGTCATCTCTTCTTGGCCGTTCTTGTGGTTGTAAGCCCTTGAAGATTGCAGTTCGCAACCGGACTCCGTTATCCCCCTGTCTTGTCGTGTCACTCGACCGCACCACTTTTGCGGGGGGGATGGTTAATTTCTTTGGGCTGCATGACATCATTTCTTCGAATATCTTCATTGGGTAGAATTCATTTGAACAAAAGCGCGGATCAGCCCTTCCGAGTGCGCCGTGACACGTGCGCACAGAACCTGCGCGACTTGATTGGAGTAGTAAGTTGCCCACGAGGCTTTGCGACGCCTGCACATCCTTCACACACAGCCCCATAAAGGGAAGGTGGGTGCGAGTGAATCCCCGCCCTCTCATGAATGCCCACACGGGGTTCAACCCGAAGCCTACACCACACCTCTTTGTAGCAACAACCACTGTCAAGGTTAGGCTTTCGTTCATTATCACATGGCCAATAACTTTGATTGAATTTAAAAACAAAAAGCGGCAATCCGAATTTTCTGTCCATTTCTTTTTCCTGTAGCCTTTATATTGAACAGCCACTCAAAGCCTTACGTGGGCAGGAGTGTGTATACAAATTTAAAGCCAACCAAATTACTGATGACTCTTAAGACACACTTATTTTTTACACCCAATTCCCTCCCCCTTTGCCTGTCACCGACCCCCTCGCCGGGATGTGGTTTGTTTTTGTTTCCCTCCAGACATCAGTTCCTGTGAGTCTAAAAGCCATTAAATGGCTGTTCGCCTTAGTTTGCCAAAATCGCCGCTTCTTTAAAGAAAAAATATTACAGAGTAATACAACAAAAGGGAACAAAATTGATGGATTCGCCCCGGGAAAATCGCGATCAATACTTTTTGGGCCAAATTTTACTGCACTTTTCTCATGGAAGCCGTTCCGATTGCCTCGGGATCTAAAGTATATCAATATGCATTACGCTGTTGTTGATATTAAACTTCTAAATGCTGTCATGAATTCATATAAAGCTTCAGAAGCTAGACTTTCATCAAAGAAAGCCCAGTTTTCGTGGTTTGGGTGGATTTATTTCATCCCATCGATGCTACTTTCCAGCAGAATCACCCATGAAACTGCATTGAATCTAAACATCCACACATCCAATCGAACCAGGAAAATGGAGTTACTGCCGAGTTTTCTTTGTGAACAGAGACCACCCCAAGTCGCTCAATATCATCAACGGAATTTGGTTTCCCTCAAACATGGCTTCGACGGGGAAAATAGGCTAAACACACAGTCCAGCCCGTAAGCCCCCCCCCACTCCATAACGCCTGGCAAACCTTCGCCGTTTGTTTTCATACTATATTAGATAAATGCACAATCAATCATGGCATTATCGGTTCAATATTTTCGCTTAATTGTAACCAAGCCCACTGGTTTAATATAACTGTTAACCAGCTGAAACGGGCATCGTGTTTCCACAGTTTTTTTTTCATTAAAAAGCACATGCCTTTGGACGACTTATTTAATCTCTCCTAATACTTCTCAAAAAGGGGGACAAAAATCAATTTCCCAAGTCCCATGGTACACCGGAAGAAAATTGTTCCATTCCTGCCTTGGTTTGCTCAATAATTTTGAGGCACTTGATGGTCTGTATACGATAACGATTTGCCATCAACCGGGCAAACAGCGAAGTGTGTTCGGGCCTTCGCCGGGTGCGGAGAAGCTAGAACCCCTCGCGCGCGCCACACCTGTTGCCGCACGCTGGTAAACACGGGCAGGCGCCACAGCAAATTGAAACATGTCAAGTGACAGACATCATTTTCAACATTTCTGTGTTTTTTTCCTCTCTATCCAGAAACAGTGCAACTAACTTCCTTTTCGTTCTCTTAAATACCGCTTGTGCATAAAAGTGGCCTGTCAAGACCCGACACTATACTTTTGAATTTCGGGTCATTTTTTCACTGAAAAAGGATGTGTGAACCAATTTTAAGACAGGATGGATATTCCCTAAAGATTCGACCTCAATTGTGTTAGGTTATCATTAAAGTAAACAAGAATTGCTGGACTGTAGTTTACGAGCCGAGAAAATATCGGTAACCACAGGTCATTTTCGCTGGTGACCTGTTTTTGTCATAAATGCTTCTTATGTCATACATGTTTTAGAGATCTCTGAAAGTGATCATCCCTCGGACTCTAGTCTAAAGGATTTGAAGTAATATACGATGAATTACTTTTCCAGCAGCCAAAAGCCCTTGGGGATCGGTCATCAACACTAAAACTGCTGGGCATTTTCTTTGCCCAACGTTGGGTACCAGGTGAATTGCTGAAATGTTAGGCAAAAAAGAGAATAACATTGGATTAAAAAAACTGGTTGCACTTTTAACATTTTCTACAAAGATTAAAGGAGACAAGTTTGCCCATATATCAGGAGAGAATCAGTTTGGTAATCGGTTTACCCAACAGTTAGGCGATTCACCTGGTACCCAACGTTAGTCCAAAAATTGCTCAGCGTTTTTACAGTGTTGTTGTTAGCATATATTATCGGTGTTAGCTTATTAAGATTTGTTAAGAACTAAGAATGCCCCAGCTGCTTTGATTTAAACTAAATATTCTCTAATTTATTAGGTTCTAATAGTTTGGATAGTAATTCTTTTAAACCATCAGAAGTTTATGCCTGAGAATTTGGGGAAGAGACAAACCGAACAACAATTTGTTACTGTCACACAGTGATTGCTCACCGCTACCATCTCTGCAGAGACACAACCTACATATATGTTCAATTCGAGTATCTTGTTCGTGGGATAAACCGTTGACCTTGTACCAACAGTGCAACGGCACTCAAGCGGCTCGATGACGATTGCACGGCTGTGGATCCAATAATGTCGTACGCACGAGCTCTGGGACACGGTACACATCCTGACCTGAATGATAATGCGCGACCTTGTGTCGTGTGCTTGTTAACAAAAAGGGCGGGAAATAGGATGAGCAAATGTGACCAGATACATCCATTGAGATTGTTTGTTAAAAAATTTAACTAAATTTCAACAGAAGCACATTTTCGACTGGTGAAAATGAAAAATCAGCCTGACGTCAATCACGTGGTTAAATGGCTGCTTGAAAAATCTTACGATAACTAGTAACCTTCCCCTTAAGTAATGTTTTAGGAATGTAATTTTGCCATTTAAACGAGATAGCTTTTTTATTTTGAGTCACGAACACAGCAAATGAAAGATCTGAATATTTCATCGAAAAGGATATTTATCTATAAATTGCAAGTAAACCGAGAGGATTCTAGCATTCGGATGGTTTCAAAACATTTCCCTTTAAATTAGACTTTCCAATTTGCCACAGTGAGCTAAAATGTGTGAAGTAGCGATCTATATTTACAATTCCATGTTGACACTTGTTGCAATGTATGTGACAAAAGTATTCGGTCAAAGTGAAACATTATTTAGTTTAGCCCAGAACATCTGCTGGCACAGCATGGAACATTTATGCCCTGTCGTTACGTTTGATATGTCTAGAATAAAACCCAGTTTTTGTACAAATAAAGAAAATGTCAATCTATTTTTGCCACGATGCACGGTGACTGCATTTTCAATCAGAATGTGTGCATACAGTGATGTAACGGATGTTACAAACGATGGAATCACACACACGGAACGCATTGTAAACTGTCGCTGGTAACACAACGGTATTTCGGCTTGTTCATATTAACACGCTCAATTAGATGTTTGTAGTACATGTCAGTACTTAAGCCGTTTGACGCGCCTGAAGTTTTTTTTTTAAAGATACCATTTCACACAGCTCAATGGTTTCAGGTACACTAACCCCCCCCGTCGTGTCCGGAGCAGATTCCATCCGAATTCTATTTTAACCAATAATGATTTGTTTCAACCCAAGCCATGACAAATAATGACAAACCTCCCCCCGTTGGTGGCGCTATGGGTGTAACGCATACTTGTTTGAGTACCTGTTTGTCTGACAAAACAGTCTTCGGAAACAGAGTATGATGATTAACTGAAACTAAGGACGCTGAGATCTAATGTGTTAATTTTGGTACCACTTTAAACTGCACCTATCGCAAATTTCGCATTCAGGTACACGCTGAACGATGTAATTGTGGTATACATATTATGCTAAACGGTATTAAGCTGAACAGACCTGTCAAATTTACCGGTCGTTCTTAAGTGTCTACAACTTCTGTTTGGTCGTGGTTTCGAATCCTGTTCTCATGATGATAGCAGACGGCTGTTTTTTATCGTGTGATGTTTTACCTGTGTTGACTTAAGAATACATTTTACCCTGACTCAGGAATCATAACTGCTGCTTTTTGTCATTTTAGAGCTGGCTGCTTGTTATGTCATTATTTGTACCATACGAACCATAGACGTTGTTTTGTATTTGTTTTCTTATGCAGAGAAGAAAACGAAGATTGAGTCGGCAAACGAGAAGGAAAATGGCCGCGGCACGCCCCCTAGCAGCCAGTCTGAACGTAACAATAACAACCGTCACTCGTCAGGCAAGAGCAAGAGCGAATCCTTGGACACCTTCAATGGGTTTGCGGCAAGCTTCGTCTCCAACTTCCGTCCAGGGCGCCTGACACCGATCGAGATTCTGACCCGGCTCTTCCCGGCCCAGCGGAAGGCCGTGCTGGAACTAGTCCTGCAAGGCTGCAACGGGGACCTGGTCAAAGCCATCGAGCACTTTCTGTCAGCCAGCGAGGACACCCATCAGCACTCCCCCAGCGGGGCCGCCCTTCCGCCCCCGCCCCCCATTTCGCGCGGGGTGGTCGGGGAGAGGCCCAGCGTGGTGGGCCACGAAAGCTTCGGACAGTCCGGCGTCCACGGACTGCAGGCGGCCTTCCGGTCAACCCTGTGCAGCGAGAAGCACCCGGTGGGCAGCATGAAGTCCGCGTTCACCCCGCTGCCGCCGTCCAGCGCAGCGGGATCGTCCGTGCCGCTGCTGTTCACTCCGAGACCGCCCCACCCTTTCCACGCTGAGGCACTTCTAGGACGTACGCCGCTCTTCGCACCGTCCTCGGTCGGGGATCTCTCTTCCAGCATGTCCAGCCCGGCCATGGCGTCCCCTCGCTTCGCTTTCCCCGCCCTCCATCCCTTCCACCTTTCGGGGAAGTTTCCCAGCGCTGGGGAGGGGTACCCTCGTCTGATTTTCGCCCCTTACGCAACATGTCCCCCAGACTGCATTCAATGCCCCGGTAGCAGGACCAGCATGCACAGTGAGCCCGAGAAATCCCCGTCTGGTACCACAGACGGCTCGATAGCCAACAGCGCTGTGGACTCAGAATAATAAAGACTATTTAATGAGACACTGACTATTTAATTGTAATGATTTGTTCATATTGATGTTTATGAGTACTAACATGATATTTTCTGTTGTAAAACATCACTTTTAAAGTATTGGAGTAATACTTTTGGACTAGTTCACATGTGACGTTGTCAGTATGTTGTTAACCGGTCTTATTTTAAATGCCGATGTGAAAATGTACGTATTCTTGAAAATATTGGGCAAAGTCGTCCCGATGTTTTCTTGCTTGAAAAAACCCAAGATTTTGTCAAATATTTAAAATCCATTATTATTTTGCCCTTTCAATTGAAAGCCGTTCCCCATAGGAATACTCAATCGATTTGCCGGACAATATCGAGACCACTTATTAACTCCAATATTTGGCCATCCAATTGCCGTCTACACATCCCACGGTTTAAATATCAACCCACGGCTGTTTGCTGTAGAATTGAATTATCGACCCGCAGTAGTCGTACAGCGTTAACCTCACTACACACGTTTCTCAGAGTACCACAAAATATGAACAAGCTTGAAATAACATAAACCCGTGTTTCATGCTGAACTTTTGCGTCACAATTGGCGTAAAGGGGCCGTTTTCAGTTCCCGGCGCGATTGTCGAAAGTGAAGACCTTATTTTCAACAACGATTGGGATTAGCGTTGTTTTTAGATTCAAGTCAAGTGTTTGCCTGTCCACACTGTCTCTCCAACCTCAGCCTTGCTCACTCTAAAAGCCCCCATTTCCCGCGTGGCTCTTCATATAAAAGGCGCGAGCGCCAAGTCCCCCCGTGAGACCGTTAGAGTTGTTTTACCCAATTTGCGGAGGAATCGAAGTGATAAACGGTTCAAGAGTGGTTCCGGCCCGATGCTGTCGGCCTGGCAAACGGTTTAGGTGAGGAACAAAATAGTGAAGAGGAAAAGAGGAGAAAGAAAGAAAAAAATCGACCTCTCTCCCTAGTGTTATTTCTGAGTGTGTGAGTTTACGTATGCCAGGCTCAAGTGCTTGTCAGACTTGGGGGGGGGGGAGGTTGGTTCGTCTTGGTTAGAGATTGAGCGACATACTTTAATGGTCTGGATTCAACTCGTCCGTCTTCGTATTGGGCCTTTTCCCCATCTCGCATTTGAATGCGTTCCACGCGCCTCACATGCTCCTGGAAGAGGATATACTCATTGTCGGGGTGTCCGTCTTTGAGAACGCTCAAGGAATTCCGAAGAAAGTTTCACCTTTTAGTTTAACTTCTCGTTCCAACCATTGCGCGGCTTCTAGACTCTGTCGGTCTCATCAAATCTCCCATTTCCACTTCAAATAACATCATGGTCATGTTATTGTCAGGTCGATGAAAACGATATTTTCAGTAATGTTTAATCCCACCAAAAATTTTACAGTTTTTTTAATAAAAGCGACCAAACCATTTCCTTATTTCTTGATACTTTTTTCAGCTTTATGAAGCAAACGTTTGTCAGATGAGTCTGTCTTCACTTCATACCGTGATGTTTACACCATCGATCAACGTTACTGAAGTGTAACGGTGCTGACCCGTTCTTAATTACGCTTCACTTGGAACTAAAACTAAATAGCAAATGGCTTTTATACTATTAAAAATGTATTGCATGTTCTGGCAAATCACAAAGTTACAAAAACATCATCGATCTGATGGCTAGTTTCTAATATACCTTTGCTGATCATGGTTATCTGGTAATCCTTTCCCGGCATGCAGTTTGAAACGGTAGTGTACGCAACCTGTTGCACGTGCTTGCTTTGATTGGCATCTTTTTGAAGCCATTCCCTTCTTATTAAGTGTAATCTGGAAACCACAAACCTCATTTTCCTTAAGTGAATGTACTGTTGGCGGTCATATTTCTCATAATGCAGATAGTTTCTGAATTTCCATTTCACGTGTTTGAAAAGGGGAAACTGTGATTGTGTCGATTAATATCAGTAATTTTACAGTGTTGCTATTTTTGTGGAGATTGTGTTTAAAGGAATGGCAGCTTTATCTTTGTTTGGAACAGGATGCAACGGTACTCTAATTTTGTGAAAATTGACCCTGCTCTGGCAAGCTCTGGCGTTGTTTAACGTAACGGTAAAAAAACTGGTATCACTAAAATAATACAGTTGTCAATTACAACTCTCTTAGAAAAAACCTTAGACGGAAATAACTTGCATTTTTCTTCTCTCCTTAGAGTCAAATGTGTACGTGTCGTGATGCTTGACAAGTACAGAGAAATGAAATTGTAAATAACTATAAATATCAGCGAACTGATGTAGAAGTTCTTGATCACCAGAGGCCCGTCAACAAAGTCCCTCAAGCAGAGGTGTCAAGTTTGCCTATGAAGTGAGTTCAGTTCGCAGATTGGTGTACTGATAGGCTCTGAACGCAGTACGATATTTTGTGTATGCACATGTACATAGATACACTCAGTTAAGGTTCAAAGTTGCTCTGTCAGATGGACGGGAACCACACCATTTTCTTATGGCGAGAGGGCCAATTAAATGTTGCTATTCCAGTCAATGAGCGGTCGTGTTACCTGTGTCCTGTGTTTTTAGCGTGTCATTAACGTGGTGATTTGAGGCTTCCAGGGTGCGACAGCTGTAACTGGACCCCGCCCCGTTGGTCCCTGGCTAACGTGGGAACCTGGTAAGCGAGAGCACTAGGGGTGGCCGAAATATAGGCCTTAAAAATGTTACATGTACTTACAAAACATGAATGAAATTTTTTGGAAACGACACGACGGACGGTGATACGTGTCACTGGATTATAGACTTGGTTCCAGTCGATACTTCCACCACAGCTTCTGTCCTTTTGACTTTGGTGTTTTTCACACGATAGGCTACTGAAATTAAGTAGCACTCCTGACAGTTTGAGGAACGGGTTCACAAAAAGTTGAGACGAAGAAATTTACAAATGACTTTTACTGGCAGCTGGAACTCTCGACGGCAAGAATTTATAATGTTTCTCCGAAAAGCCTCAGTCGCCACAAACCAAAGCTCGTAACTCTCCTCACTAAGCAGGTGTACACGGGGAGAAAGACGCGGGAAGCGGTTGGGGAAACTGACTTGTCTACCCGAATGACATTTGTGGACAAATCAATCGGGCAAACTTTTCGTGGCTTGTCTAATTATTTTTTCACTTCACTCACAACTTCCCCATTCCTTAATCCTTTCATCAAATTAAAACCCAACTTTTGTCTTGCTCACTTGCCTCTCTGCTTACATCGCCTGTCAACCTGAAATACGCCAACTGTTTGAGTAATCCCCGATCTAAGAGATGGATTGAAAGCTGACAGACTTTTTTCTTCAATTTTTAATATTCCTACAATGTTATTGTTGTTCTATCCAATGTCCGGAGTTTTCCCACATTTTGTTTGACTTTCGTCAACCTTACTAGATCAGTTCTGTCCTGTTTGATCTCTTCCAGTCACCTGGGCTTTGAACAAAGTTTCAATAAATTAACGCCATCTTCCCACAGGAGTCTAGCGTACCTTTGAGGTGATGCTCAAAAAGTTGGAAAAAAGAAGGGTTTTCTTCAAACATTTGTGCTGCTCGCGCAGCGGGACACCGTGTGGCTCGGCTAGCACAACAATAGCTGGATAACTTTATTGCTGTTTTTTATTGTTATTTTTTCATGTCCCAACCACTCTGCGCCATCTCCCCCCACGCGTGATTGACAGAAGGTTCAGCGGGGAGTCGGTCCCAGGGGATGAGTTGCTCGGCTGAATTCCTCTCGCTCGAGCCCCTGAGATGAGGACCTGGGGAAGTTTCCAGCTCTCCCTCTCCGCATTTCTGTCCCTCTCCCTCTGTTTTCACCTTTCCCGTCAAGTCTCGTGTATTGGCGCAGTAACCAAAGCCAGCTCCGGTGTACAATTTCTCGGTACGAGTTGTCGAGCCCCATAGAGCCGTCGCCCGCGCCAAACTCGCGAGAGCCTCGCTCCCTCGCGACGGAAGCGAAGACGACGAAGAGGGTAAAAAACAAATAGATAAAGATTAGCAACATTTTATTAAAAAGGAGGGCATCGGGGGAAATGAAAAAGAGCGGCGAGCGCCAACAAAAACAGAGCGTGTGTTTCCATTTTTTTTTCCTCTGATTTAAAAAATAAAAGGCACGTTTGGTCATTAAGTTATCTTGTGGACCGCTCCCAGTCATTTCCTCTCCAACCAAAGAGCGTAAAATTCATCCTTTCGCTTGCCTAGTCAAGCTCTTCTGTCACCGACTTGTTGAGTGATCAAGCAGAAAGAGTTCCTCTGAGTTTGGAAAATAAAAATGACAAAAAAAAAAGAATTATTACTGCCCATGGCGGTTTTACCCAACACACACACCCACACAAAATGACGGGATATAACTTGATAGGTTTGGGAAAATTGGATGATCTCATGAGCCACACGACCTTATATTGAAGCACAAACATGCCGGGGCAATTTGGCATAGGAAACGGCGGGCCCGCAACATTGTTCAATTAAATCGCAACGCGGAGTGAACGGAGTATATAATTCTGTCTGGGGCTTTCTCCCTCCCCTCACAGACTACTATAGGGGCCCGTGATCGGTCGCCCTTCGCCACGCTGTGTTAACTCCTGGCCGTGGGCGTGTTTGGTTTTCATGAAGACCCCCTCTCCAACATGCTCTCGGGCCAAAGATGGGACTCTCCTCACAAAACAGTAACACTGGGGATATTAAAAATTGATTGCTCAGTTGATTATTTCCATGCAACACTATGTCATTGAAACATGTAAAACTCATCAATTTTTCCTCTTTTCAAAGAGTTATGCCGAATTAAATGCTACTATGGGATGGATCCCGCCTTCAAAATACCGCTGACTATGATGAAATAATTAAACACTGTATTCTGATAATCAACTTCAGAATTGCAAATCTTAAAACGAATTTACATTTTCATTCTCAACTGGTCTCATTGTCATTCTCAACTTGGCCCGGGAGTCAGGTTGGTGTAGTGGCTCTTTCCTCGCCTCCCAAGCCCGGGCTCAAATCCCACCTAGGTCAGCATGTGGATTGGGGTTTTCAGTCCCTGCCTGACTCTGTGGGTTTGGGTGGACGCACACAACCTTCATCTTTTCATTGTGAGTCTGCCATGATGTATTGTAACTGGATGCCATTTTGTGTCCGCTGGAAATTTCGTTTGTCAGTGAAGTTTCAAAGGTGGCAATTTTTTTTCTGGAGGGGTTGAGTGTATGCGATGTGAAAAAATTGTGAGGTGACAGGATAGGCTTCTTACTGTATGAGATTAAATTAGCTTTGCATTATCGGCACATCATTGTGATACAGTGTAGGTAACTTCGGCAAAAGTGTGGAACATTTTTGTGTAGACTCCTCACTTTAAGCTCGACAAATGTCCTTGTAATGTCACACAGGAGCTTCGTAATTAACATTGGTATTTTTTCCAAATACCGTTTCCAGTTTAGGTGTTACTTTTTCCTGAAACAGTGGGTAATTGTGTGCTTGACATCCACGCGGGTCCCTTTACCCCCTGCCCCCCCCCCCACTTAAGTCTGTCTTTTTACCAACAGCATAGGAGCCAGCGATGTTCATCACCGGATCGTCAGGTTCACTCGACGGTTAACTAGCGCTTTCGCACCCAACAAAAGTACACGGAAAGGGGCCACTTGTGCTCAATCTCCCCCGTTCGAATCTTGTGCACCCCCCCTTCACTTCCACCACTCTTCACCCTTTATTTTTGCCCCGTCGTGTAATTCCGAGGCGAATTAATGAAGCATAAGCCGTGTTTGACCATCGCAAGCAGGCTACTCTCAACTCCGGGAGAGGAAATTGGCCTCCTCTTATGTGTAACTGCCAGAGCAAGGGAGTCCCCCCCCCTCATTTTAAAGGGGGGGGGAACTTAATCTTGGTCTACACCGAATAATATATGATTTTCGGGCTGATAGCTTGTTAGTATCCAACGGCCCGGCTTCCTCCTTCAGCGGGACTGTTGTGCGAACCGGAGCCGTGTGGTGTTCGCTTTCGCCCGGGACGGGGACGGAGAAGAGGAAGGCGCGGATCGAATGTCCGTGCCAACCACTGTCTCCGTTCCTTTTTTTCTCTCTCTCGTACCGCGCAAGCTTGACATCCTGACGATGTCTTGTTTGCCTCCCTTCCTCGTCTTTTTCCCCTCACTCCTTTTCCCCCTCGCTCGGGAAAGAATGGCAATAATGTTGCCGAGCTGATTTTGGCCAAGAAGTCGCATTCATCCGAAGGAGACCTGGAATGATTAAAGCCACACCTCGGTGACAATCTTCACGTGAGTTTGTCCAAACTCAAGAGTATAACCACCGCCCGCGGACTTTTTTTTTCAACAGCCTTTGCATATCTGAAAGACAGGGGAAAAACGAAGGAACAAGAAGGAAATATCATTGTAGTGTTTCCTCTTCGCAAAAATCAGTCGTTGGAATCACAGGCCAACAGCCCATGTAAGAGTATACACTTCTCCTTCTGAAACATTTGGGGGGCAGCATGGGCTCAAAGTTTTAGTGAGATTTTTTTTTAAGGTTTTTGTTGTCCCTCGCATAGTAGGATATTCAGACGTAATTGATTAAGTGCGTGAGTGACACGATTTGTTGAGCCCAATTCGTGCAGCTTTCTTTTATACCTGGGGACCGCGGTGTGACAGAGAGTCAACTACGCTAGCTGTATCCTTTCTTTATGGTTTTAATTAGCACTTTGCCGGTTGGATATAATTTCATCCGGGGCCCGCCTCCTTGGTCTGGCAGGGATGAGGTGGTTTTTGTCCCAGCCGGGATGAGCTGGGCCAGTTGGAGAGCCCCCAATCGATAGCACAAGTGTCTTCCTCGTGTAAGATCAACACAGGGGCTGGAAGAGAGATGGGAGAAAAAAGGATAGACTTGAGCGGGAATTCAACTTGAAGAGGATCCTGCCGAACACCTAATTGAAAAAAAACCAAGCGGGATTTCGTTTGGTGATTGACGCGGCTATACAAAAAAAAAACCAGGAGGCGCTTCCAGACCTTGGTTAAGTTTGCTTTCCTGAACAACCCTATTGGTATTGTCTGGCGCACGATCAGTTTTTGTCGCGTTCAAGTGGTTTCCCTCTCTTTTTCGGCTCTGATGATGAGGTGAGGAAGGGATAGGGGAGTATTATTGTGGGTGTTCGCTGCAGTCGGGGCGCGAAGAACCAACGCTGAGTGCAAGTGGATGGAGCGACAGACCCGCCGTGTGTGCACAAACGCCACGCCGGCGGAAGGCGCGGAAATGGGATGACAACTCCCCCCAGAAAGAACTTAAACTGTTGGATCTCGTTGGTCACTGGCTCCGCTCGGGTGTATAGGCTTTCATTTCATGTCATCATGCCTTGAATGGCAAAGACAACAACCACAAAACTTGATCTTCCCTCTATCCAGCTCGATGGGGCCGGAGCAAGGTGTTGCCAGTTTCGTCAGGTTCTGCAAGGCTCGTGGTTTGGAAGACAAGGAGGGTAATATCGGCGCGCGAGGTTTGTTTCTGCGATTGCCTATAACGGTAATCCATCACCACCAAAGCGAGTCCACTGCCCTCTCGTCAAGCGTCTAGTTGATATTAAATCGTAGCTATCTTGTTTCCCCTAATTGCCAGGCTAGTGTTTTCGTTGTTGGCGAGGCGGTGAATTCAAATTTGACACTAGTACTCAATTTGTGGTGTGGATGCGGTGTGGCGTGGAGAGGGGAGAGAGAGAGAGAATTATTACTTCTTCGCACCGCCCGAGCCCCGCGTGCAAACATTGATCAGGACCGATCGATGTTCTGTGCCGGACCCGTGCGATTTTCGCAATACATCACACGGGGTCTTCGCGCGCCGAAGTCGGTCCGGCCTCAGCGCGGCTAGCATGCATCCTACCGCGCGTTTGGGAGACAGGGTTACGCCGGGGCTGCTCATGTTTAAATGCAACAGTGTTTTTTTCTCCCGTGATATTTTGTCTCGATTTTCATAAGTAGGCCTTTACCGCGAGTTATCTCCGGCAGTCGATGGCATCGATTCCCATGCATTCCATTCTATTCGCCTCGTTCCTGGGGATTTTTCGAAATGTCAACTCAGTTTGTCTTGGACTTGAGTGTTGTCATTGATATAGTCCACGTTGAAGGCCGTTGATCTCCCAAATCCTCGCTCTTGCCCTAAAAATCTATCTTCAATTCAATATGGATGAATATTTTATCCAGATTTTATCCTTCTGTACTTGAGATGACCATTAGGGGTATTTTTTTCTGTTGATTTTCCTTCACAATCGCCACCAAAATAAATTATAAACTTGACATTGACAGTCTTCAAAGTTTTGTTTGGTTTCCCAGCCCACCTAAGCGCTTCAATCGCGATAGCGTGGGTGGGCCAAAACTACAGGAGGCAAACGAGTCGATCGTCGGTAGAAACAGAAAAAACACTGTCGGTACTGCTCAAGACCTTGGACGGACAAGAACAGCCTTCATGCTGACAAATAAATTTGGTGTTCACGGACGATTCTATCCTTGGCTTTCCCAAAGTTTGAAAACAAAGCACAATCGAGCCGATTACACTTTGCGCGAGACCTGTAATCCCACGAGACTTTGCGAGAGTCATTGGACAATACTGCAGTGCAATATCTGGCCCGGAATTTGACGTGAACGTCTTGCAGCGAAGGTGTCACATTCGATATCGACTCCCGTATAATCTGGCTCGTTTTTTCCCCTTATACCTGGCTTCCAGCCTCCCGTTCCTTTAGTTGTTGTCATTGCTCTTCGCACCAAGTCATGCGCAGTGCGGTCAATGAATCCATATTTCATAAGAGTCCCAATTTCTGTACACAGGCACCACTTGGCAAGGTTGCTCTCTCGTACAGTGTCGGCCTTAAAAGCTTTCACCGGAATTGCAGCCTCTTCGCAGCTAGAGTTACTCCTCGAGGAAGGAAAACACGCCGAAATTTAGTTGTCATACTTGTATGTTTAGACAGTTGCAAATCCTCTGCTAACACCGGCCACACAAAAACATTGGAAACTGTCCAGATGTATATAATCCACATGTTTAAAGCGGAATTTTTTAACAATTCAAGATAAGTGTTTCTAAAGGTTTGCGATTCTGAATAACCCTCCCTCGCAAAAGCGCGACCCACGCCTTAAACAAAGTTATGTTGGGAAGGGAGTTTTTCTCCAATGGAAAAAGAACTGATCGTTTCTGTGAGTTGTGCAAATCTGAAGAGACCTGTTTCCACAAAATCGAAAAATTAAAGCTTGGAGTATAGCAGTAAGACAAAGTTTATTTGACAAGAAAAATGAAATCGTTAAAATCACCTTTCCACAAAATTTAGACTATGAAATAAGATCGTTTCTAATATATGGATCAGAATTGGTTATTTTTGGAAGGTTTGGATGCGATGAAGTTCACTGCCGCCTCCACAGCGTCGTCACCCTTTCCCTGTGCACTTTTTTTTACCTTTTCTCCCATCAACACCGCGTCTCCATTTCTTTCCCAACTTCCCAACCGACTCGTTGAGCAGAATGAACGATTACGGTGTGCCTGGCTGCCTCCCGCGGGATTGGCTTTTGTGTTATTAACAAATCGTGATCTTTGTTTATTAAAAAATATCACCTGACTCGTCCGGGTCTCGTTCCGCCTGGATTGGTCAGGGCGACCGGCGATTTCTCCCCCGTGTGATGCCGGCATAATAACGCCCGCTACCCCGGGGGCGCATTTCCCCGTTATTGTTAGTTTGAGTTTGACTTTTGTAATTGAACATCATGGAACGTTTAATGAAAAGGATAACTTTCCAAGTGGCGACATGTTGAGAGTGCTAATTATTTTAATTCTTGAAAACGGATCGCAGGTTTTTGACGGACAAAATGGAAATCTGCTATGCTATGTTCAATTATAATTCAGAGTAATAAGGCGTTGTATTGAAGTCAAGTATTTCAGTCTCGAGCTGTTCAAGTCAAAATGTGGCCGTCCTTTGTCTTTGTTCAGTCCTGTTACTTGTAAACTGGTGTGAAATCTCATAATGCTCTAAATCTGACAGTGTCTATGTTATGATAATGACACATTTTAAATCCGATCGTGAAAGGTACTGCATTAAATGGTCCCAAAACAAGTAAATAAACAGATAATAAAAACCAAAAAACAGAGACATGCAGTTTATTTAAAAGAATGGAAACAAAGTTTGCAATAATTCCCATTTGAATCCTCATCAGTAATGACTGTGTGTGGGTAATACCATGTTCAGGAAAATATAATCATGCAGTTTATTATTTACCGCTAATAGGTCATTAGGGAGACATTCCCATAAGAATGTGCAAAATTTTTCCAACTTTACTGTCCCATTATTCAATATTCCCTAATCTGATCTGAACCAAACTTTGTATGTTTTCATTTTAGGCCCTAAACTATCATCTCTCAAAATATGGAATGTACAATTCGGCCTCCTTCTGGTAGTTTGAAAATAGGGAGACACTGAAATGTCTCCCTAGAAGCCAATGTCTCCCTAATGCTGAAAAATTTACCACAAAATGTCTCCCAAATGGCCTATTTGTAAATATTATGTTTTTCACTTCAAAACTCACTAGTTGCATATACAGTGTAGAGTTGCACATGTACGAGATCCCCCTATATTGTTTGGATCTAAATGAATTACTACCAGGTCATGTTAGATAGTGAATAGTCATGAAGGCAACACCCTGACTTCTCTAAAGATGGCTCCCGCAGTCTTTGTTCGTTCCCGTACCTAGACGATTATTATTAAACTTATGTCCCGGAGTCCTGAAGTTGTAATCGGAGTGGCCGATTCCTGTTAACGATTTTTTTCCTAATCAACCCGAGGAAGTTTCCCGCCTTTGACCAAAATCTGATACTGACTCACCCTGATTACCCAGTCAAGAGACGTGAACAAATTACAAATGAAGTGGGCCCGGGGCAACGTGGGAAAACAACGGCGGGGCAGCCTGGGCGTGCTTCTCTCATCGTGGGTTTTAACCATTTGATTTTGGATTCAGTGCGCAATTGATGATTGCACGATTTTTGGTGTGTCATAACCAACTTCACGGATTCCTCGGTGCCAGAGATTTTTTTTCTGCATTTGGTAACTGACACACGCAAAAATCTGCTTCTCGTTCTTATTTTAACATGTATAATCCACATGCGGGTTCTGACCGCAAAAATAAAAGTCTGACAAAATTTGGTCAGGCGACATATATACCTTTTGAGCCAATATTTCCCCCCGTCACCAGAATCGACTTATCAAGCATTACGTGCACAGCTTGGTGTGTAGGTACAATAACCAACCTGGCTTATACATGACACCTTTCCTGTATATTTAGGGCGATCAAATAAATGTCTTTGTAGCGCAAAGCTAAGTTCCCCAACGTGGGTTCTCCTATAGACCTATAGCTATTGTGTTATAAATATTATTCTCATAAGATATACAGGTGCTACAGTAACCCGAATTTTATCAAGTTTTCTTCGCCAATAAAGTTGAATTGAATTAGCTGAAAAATTGAGTTGTGCTCCTGTTACTTCATTTTGATTTCCTATTTTGGACTTGTTCTGGCTTTCTTTGGCCACAATATTCTCCCATGGCTGCAAATGTCACACGGCGAAGGCCACGCCCCCGTAAATCACTCGAGAATTCACATCGGCACGCCCTGCGCACACGTCGAGAATCACACGACAGCGCCTGGTGCTGGCAATACTCAGATGAGTAACTCGTTGCTCAATTTCTCGGGCCTAACTCTCGTCGAAAGTCTGACCGCCCGTGGAAACCTGTCGGCTTATAGTTCTTCCAAAAGGTCACCAACTTGACGCGAATGAGAAATCAATACTGCTATAATTTACGCCAACAATAATTGCACCATACTGGCATATGTTGACCCCGTGTTTGCTAGTTACACAATACCAAACCTCGAATAGATCCAGCAAATCTCGCTGGGAAAGAGTTGGATTCAAATATGTTCTTTAAAAAAATAGGGGACAGGATCTGCGTGCATGTACCACCGACGAGACTTCGGCAGTACGGAGGAGACGATTCTCGCTTTCAGCGTACCTTCAGATTTTACTGGAAAGCCAGGAAGAGCCGGTGGTCCATTCAAAATTGCCACGTGCATGAAGCGCTCGGTCAATATCCCTCCTCCAACTGCTCTTTCCTTTCAATCCATATCTACGAGACAGAATGAAGACCACCAAAGAAAAAATCCAATTATACCAAGAAACGTTATGACCCTCCAGGCACGCAAAGCCCCTCAGGAAGGAAGACAAGATATGCCATCGAACTTTAAATGAAACTTTCGCCACAACGACTGTCAGAAATGTACTATATTAGACATTTATCTGTAAGCCTTCACAGTCGTGCACCGTTTGGACGGGAGAAATTGTAAGAGGTTCAACCAAGAACGTACAAACGACCGAAATCGAACCGTCCTTGGACGGAGCTTTAGTCAATACGACGAGAGACTGGAAACGGAGAGGTAATAAGCCGAGGCCGTGAAACACAGCAGCAAAGCTCCACAGCGCCTAAACCACTAAAACTGGTGTTTAGCTTCACTCTGTCTCCCCGTTCACGATGGAGTAAGGAACACCCCTGCACTCCTCCCCATTCGATCGAGAGAGAGATAGAGAACTACGGGACCGAAATCCCCTATATCATAGCGCGACGAATATACGGGGCAACAGCTGTGGCCACTTATGAAGCCTATCCGTGGACGGGAGAGGCTATTCTCAGGGCGAAATGAAGGTTTGCAACGCGGCAGCTGATAGTCGGCTATCGACAGTTCTCGAGAGCTTAGCGGAGTAACCTAATATTACTGCGCCGCCACGGAGAGGGACAAAATATACACCGGTATCTCTGAAATATCCATGACAAGGTTGAAAAAAATTTGCCCGGGAAGATCCAAATCCCCCGTCTTGCAAGAAAAGAATCAAATTCGCTCCCATTCCTTTCCGTATGGGCTCGGCAACTCTTCCGCTCTCTCTCTCTCTCTCTCTCTCTCTCTCTCTCTCTCTCTCTCTCTCTCTCTCTCNCTCTCTTTTTTTTTGGGGGGGGGGTTGGCTTATGAACCAATCACCGCATTATAGCAGCTGAGCAAAGATTGCACTAGCAGAGCAACAGGAAGAATTTGCAAGCCCAATTCCCGCTCTTCTATTCTTCCCGAATGTTTAAAAATCCAATTGAAAAAAAAAAGAGGCCGCCAAAACCTCCACTCAGTACGCCGCCCGAAAAGTGGGACCGAAATAGATCACCAAGAACAAACCGTCCCTCTTTTTCCCCTGCACAAACCAACCCCCCTCTTTCAACTCGCCTTGATGACTTAGCCTAGTTCTTTCCATAGCAAGCTTAAACACAGACAACGCACATTTTTATTCAGTGTTGACCAAACCGGCCGAATCAGCGCTACCCGTCTTTTGAGACTTTCGAATCAATTTCAGCTGCGAAAACAAATTGTTTTATTACAATAACAAAACTAAACAATCTAAAATTGAAGAACATATGACAACATTCCCCAGTGAAGCTGTCTTTTTTCTTTATTAACGATCATTTCATTTCATGACCCGGGGGGAGTTGGTAAGACACTAGCCTGAACGTCGCCGTTGATTATATCTTTATTGATCTTTCTTATAATGTGCACCAGCGTAGAGATATACCGCTCCAATAATGTGTACATAATTCTTTTCTCGGTCAGTCTACACATATAACAGGGAGTAGTGCACTTCACCCATGTACGCAGAGGAGTGTAAGCCACGAATGTGGGGAAAGGATTTATTTCAAATAACTACAGAGTGTTATAAAATTGAGGTTTTGCTGGAAAATTTCAATTTGGTGAAAATGGATCGATCCTTTATTGGGGGAACTCAACCAATTTTATCGACTATGAAATTATAGCGAGAGGACGGAACACCGTCATTTTCTGAATAATCCTTCAGACTTGTTCCCGAGGGGAATCGGGATAGATCAACATTGAGAGAAAGGTGTTTTTTCAGTCATTTAATGCGGTTTTGTGTACTTTTTTTGAGTTTCTGTTTTCATGTTTGACTCATTGGTTGTCAGTCTTATTATTTTATGCTTTGTTCATGTTTTACCAGTATTTACTCTTCTGTAGGCTGATTTACTTTTGCATTCCACGACAGTGTTTCCTTTCACGAAATAATCAAAACTATAATCCCTTAAGATTCCAACTCGTCGTTTTCTCCTTAACGAGATATCTGTGAATTTTTCCCTTGTCAAATGAACCAAACAGCATACTCTTACCTTAACCCTAGGTGGTCAAGTTTCCACAGCAACCGTCGGACAGAGTGACAAACCGACGAACCTTCATCTGGACTTGATAGGTAATTTGTTGAGGTACTAAAATGAGACAACTATAGGTGCTTGTTGAGAATGTCAGATGCACCGTGTGGCTTTATCTGCTTAATTGTTTACAATGTAGCCATTTGGAATTACATTCCCCAAAATAAACATTCGCTGCGTATTCCTGAATGGGGCAGCGGCAGAGGGAACAATATGGCTGAAATTTCAAAAATAAATTTTACCGTTCGGCACAGTGACACAACTTAAATCTGTAACTGATCTCAACGCGTTCTTATTTTATATGAAGTGTTCAGAAATACGTGTTTTTGCTGGGATATACTTGCTTTGAAATCAATAATGCCAACTCATGAATGATATATGGCTGATGTGGATCCAGTTGGGGCAAAAAGTTTACATACACTTGGTAGAAAAAAGAGTTTTCCTCAATTTTTCGCTGTTTGAAATAGTTTGGTCAACTTTTTCTTTACGAGATCAGACAAGTTGTGTCTCAACTTAATGTTCATAGTGTGTACTTTAATTAAATACTCAGAGACAGTCGTTATTGTTAAATATTAATATTTCTGAAAATCTTTTTGTGGAAATTTACATCTGCCCCTTGTTGTCGTTCAAAAACATTTGAGAAAGTGGTCCACTGCGACTATGAGATGTGACAAAAAATACAGAAAGTGGCACGAAATATTAGGGTTAGAGTATCTAAAATTTAGATTTTGTTAAAATATATATAAACATGAATCATATACATGTATATGTCTCTGGGTGTTTTTATTTGACGCATACACCATGTGCATTAAGTAGAGACCCATCTTGTCTGTCCTCGTGAAAAGAAAAGTTGGTAGGAATGAGTGAAGTTGTGAAATTCTGCCAATTTTTTATGTATACCTTTTGCCCCAACTGCAACTCTTGCTATGTCTTAGCAATCTCTGCTCTGCTGTTGGAAGTATGTTCGCTTCTCGGCTCCTGTTTTTTCCCACTGATGTGACCTGGTGCATGCATTGACAGATATCGTTTTATCACATTGCATCTTTAACTGCATGCGGTTCCCATAGGCTACAGTGTTAACTGTCCAGACGACTATTTTTAGGCGCTCTTGGTTCGCACGGTGTTATCGAGAAACAAGAAGCCTCTACCAATCCAGCAGATCCGAGACGAGTCCAAACTGATACTTACGAAACCCTTTTCCAGGTCTCCATGGCAACAGAAACTCCATCTCTTTCCCAAAATACTCCATTTTAATAGCTACAAAAAGCGATCCATACCAAATCCATAAATCCGGCGAAAAGGGGCATTTAGATTGTGTGATTTTGTCTGCGAACGACCCACTCAAGGGTTCGGGACAAGAGGGGAGCTTTGGGTGAGAGGTTTCTCCGTTGAGTCACTTAGGCGGCCGTTCACCCGGCCAGCCGCGGTTCCCTGTCGGCCTCCCGGCCCTTGCAACACGCGCTGGAAGAACCCGACAGTCAGCAGAACCAACAGTACGACAATTATATTGTAAGGGAGAGAGAAAAAAAAGAGAGAACCCCCTGAATTGCTACGGAGACCCCATCTCCATTTTCCCCCGTCTCTGCTCTCCGGATAGACTTGGATTGTTTTGCTAGGCGCTCATTCAAGGGGGTAAGCCGAGAAACAATTTCAAATTTGATTTTTATGGCGTACGCGGGGGACCGGCGCCGTGGAGTGTTATTGCACGATGTGTGTAGTCCGATATCCTGACCAAGGCAAAGTACAGGTTGGGGGGATGCGGTGCGACCAAGGGTTTTTACGGCGAAGAAAAGAGACAATATTCGGCATGAGTCATCCACGGATTTTGTCTCTTTGTCTCCAAAAGATACATCAAATGGTTAGAGGTGAAATGAAAGTTTGGCAAATGAAAGTCGCGTAATGTCTTCTGTTAACTGGAATAATTTATTCATCTGGTAAAAGAAGATTTGTCCACTACTTTCTCTGTCCAGGTTTCCCTAGACTTAAGTGTTACACTAAGTGTAATTTCAAAGGTCTATAGCAATGCAGTGCTCTTTTACATGTACAACTACCCCCCCCCCGAAGTGCACCTTTGTGTTCCAGTTAACCCGAATTTCACTTATTGTTTTGCTATTTAAACAGTGTTTTGGTGCCTTGGGGTTTTATGCTAATGCCAATTTCCATATTCATAAGCAACACTGTGATGTTGTTCGAAACAAAAACTTCATTTTCCATGGATTGTGCACAGTAAACTGATGGGATTATTTGGCGGTGTTTTGTTGCCTCAAGTTGTCTTTTCTGTGGGAATGCATTCTAGTGTAAAAGTATGGCAATAAGACAATCGTCTGATTTCCAATGTCAAGAAAAATCGGACATTCACTGTACAATCCTA